TTACTTTAAAATTCAACTAAAAAATTACGACATTATGTGTATGCAATCAGACGGACTCATTGACATTGTCATTAAAGTCCACTGATTCATGACCAGCTGCCAGATATTTCGATACTTCTGCGCGGGTGGGAATACCTCAAGCAAGTTCGCTCATTTGAGATAAATTTGTAACAAAAATTATGGCTGTTGTTGTTATGAAAACAGAATAGTAAAACACAAAATAAACAAGATTAACATTGGAAATCGCATCAAGAGTCACATAAACCGTTTATCAACGGTGCCATATGCAGCTGAGAATTTAACTTTTTGAAGTGTGCCATGCGCTAAAAATAATAGTAATATTAATGAAAATATCATCGATTTTAAGAATTCAAGGCAAGTTGCCAAGTGGCAAGTACTTTTTAGTCTTTAGACTTTAGAGATCAAAAATTGGCAAATTGCTTACATTTCATATTTCCAAGGCTGATTTCATGGCTAAAAGCCAAACGTTGATCGGTGCTGACAGAATATCGGCGGGGAACAACATTAGAAGGCAAATGTGATGACAAATTGATAGATAAATTCAAATTAAATATACTTCACAACAGCTGAAAATTTAATTATTTGCCATTTGGCTCGAAAAAAATTCTAAGATCTATTTGTAAACGTGTCTCTGCAATAATATTATGCTAATTTTATGATATTCGACTCAATCGACCCATCGGCCACAATATATTTACATCGCTAATAGCCTTGAGTTTCCTAATTGTGTACAATACTATTATTAATATGGAAAAAAATATATCTGGTATTAAACTCTATGACTTCAACTGTTGACTGACATTCGCTCATAGTGTCTAGTATAATGTAACAAAACCCAAGCAATATTGTACTTAACCGATAGAGTATAGATGTAACATTCAAAGAAGAACAACATTAATCATTATGTATTCGCCATATTTAAACACAATTGTTTAAATTTCCTTACATACAATATAACCGTAAAATATTGCCGATCAAATGATTTCGAATCAACTATTACATTTGCACATATGTCCATGACATTTGAAGTTCCGAAGACTACAAATTCCTAGTAAATAATAAAACCGAACTAATCAAGGAAGGCAGTACTTTGCTCTTTGGCCTTCAATGGCGATGCTTATAAACATTTGAATTAAATTTAACCGAACCCGCGAAAGCGTTTGTTTAATAAACTGGTTTGCTTATAAAAGTTAGGTGCTGCATTGTTCACATTGACACAGAAACAAAAACAAAACACTACGAAGAGAGTAGAACATACCATTATCGACAACGAATACAACAGTAAGTACGATTATAGCCAGAGCAACAACAGCCACGGCCAAGAATGAGAGGAAAGCTTTACGGTTTATTCCAATCACTGTCCGCCTAGATCGTCCATCGGCTTCCTCTGTGTCAAATGAATTGAGCGGTTTGTACTCCTTACTGTTGGCCATAGCAGACGTTCTCTTCTCGTGAGAATTAGGAGAACTATCTACAGTAGTTCCGCTCTCAGTTTTATTCATAATATTATGTGCTGTCACGTTATTCTCTGTTGTTTCCATTTCATTTGCATATAAAGTGTCTTAGCCCCCCTTTGATCGAAACTAGACCGGCGCTCAAAGCCGTACAGAGCATTTATGCAACATTGCGTCACAATTGCATTAACTAAATCAAACTTAAGCTCGTATATCCCCTTAAAATATTTTCAAAACCCGAACATTGCTTAAATCATAAATACTCCTACTAAAAGTTTCACAGAGGTTTTTGAGTAATTGTGGCACAATATATTTGATTAAATATTTGGCAGAAATTATATTGGCGGACATGGTTAGTAATATAATATCATGTTACTTTTCTTCACTGCGTTTAACAACGCCGAGTGATGAAACCAATATTTTACGAATGTAACCAAACAGAATTAGTGATTGATGGCGTTATTTTGTTAATTAAAAATTAAAGAAATACAAAAATTTAGCTCACGGTTGAAATCTAAAAAAATGTTTTGAACAATCATCTACTTATGTGATTATGGCCTCTTCAAAATATCGATTAGGAGGGATTCATGTGTTCTACATACAGCTAGGCGACTGGCGTGAGTGGTGGACACTAGGGGTCAGGGGCGGGTGAAACCGCTCGCCCTCCCCCTATAATTTCCGAAAACCTTTTATTGATAGCTGAATAAGATTAAGATTTACTTCTATAGGCAGCGCAAATTTACATGTGGATACAGGCTTGATGAATAGCCTAGAGCTACCCAGGACTCGATACAGTATCATTTTGAATTCAACGAGCCAACATTGAAGCCTGAATATTTAATTAAAGCAAATGTCTTGGCCTGGGTACCATGAAAGATAGCTTCCCGCAACTCTTACGCCCGTTTCTAGAAGCTCACTCACTCAAATTTAATCTGAGCTTCTCTCGACTACTCGAGTGTCAATGTCATCGCTGGTTTTGCGGAATAGCTGGAGGGCCAATCTCGTTCCCCGAGCATGCCCGTTCGCAGGTTAAGGGTGGGCCCTTAACCTGCGAACGGGCATGCTCGGGGAACGAGATTGCTGGAGGGCTAGCCGTCATACCTTACTAGTTACTATGTGTCATGTGACTACTCATCCTCCAGCTATTCAAAAGCAGCACTGACATTCAAGAGAAGCTCAGATTGAACCTCCACTCATTGAGTTGAGTGAGCTTTTAGAATACAGGCGTTAGTTACAAAAGCCGATTTCAACTTCTACTCGGTAAAACTGTCGCATGCAACCTGCTTACAACTTGAGTTGTACTGTGTCCATCAAGCCCACAACTCGTCTACGTTGTCGTAGGTGAGTTGTATGCTTGATTTACACAGTACAACTCAAGTTGTAAGCAGGTTGCATGCGACAGTTTTAGGAAAAAGTTGTGTCGGTGTAAATCGGCCTTGACAAGTTTTAGAACGTTTCTTCAATCGAGACAATACGTGTCCTTTCCGCGTTCAATCTTACAATAACGAAAAACTATTACAGAACCTCTTCTAACATGTCAGCAATACTACAGTAGATTAATGGATCATCGTAGATCATCCAGTCAAACGTTTCAGCCTAACCCACCCTGTCAACTTTCCCTGTAGTAGGGAACCGGAGCACCCGGAGACTGACCCAAGACTTTCGGCGGGGCGTTGACTGACTCTTGTCACACGAGTAGGCAACGAGAAAGTAGAACCACGATATAGTTGAAAGGCGCTTGCCCCCTGAAGCCCCCTAAGGCCTAACTGTGTAAAAAACTGTAACAATTTATTTCTCGACCGTTAGGCTAAACACGGTAGGCTAAGGTAGGCTATTAGGCTATAGATTAACCCATTGAGTGGCAGCACTCTCCACTTGACGACTAAAATCGTCTGGCGTGAGTCAGTCGTCCTTCTTTAATCGTATCGTCCCTCTTTGGAACTGTGTGTACAGCAGCCTCGCCTGCAGACATTCGTAGTTTAATTATGTTTAAATCGTTTTTCTCAAGAACGTACTTACATTTAATTACTACTATTTTTGATGTAGATATGATCTGTACCTGGTCATGTCAAAGGAATGGAGTCAATGGACCTATTCCCTAATGAACAAAATTTTGATCTAGACAAGTCTAGACAAAAATGTCATAACATACGACTTAAAAGAGCATCACAAAATTAGTAATATTCCGAAGTTTCGTTGCGAAACGTTGTAAAATGCGGATAATATAGCCCCGCGGCCTGCGAAGTTTGCCGTTTTTAGTCATTTTGTATTACCCACGGAAAATTTATACCTTTTTTCAGAAAGCGGTATCAATTTCCCGTGCGTAATACAAAATGACTGAAAAACGGCAAACTTCGCAGTGCTATATTACCCGCATTTTACAACATTGAGCAACGAAACTTCGGAATATTACTAATTTTGTGATGCTCTTTCCACCTGTGGTGAAATGTTTGTCTAGAAATAGGTCCATTAGTTCGAACAAAACATATGCGTATTGCTTGTGTTTCACATTCTATGTTCTTTCACATTCTTAATAGATGGATTCTCATTTAATACTAAATCCAAAAACTCGTAAGGTGCGTTTGCGCATAGCGATTGGTCGGGCCGATTCGGCTCAGGCTGGATTCAGCTTTATTTAAATAATATTAAAATACGCTGTCAACATCATCTGGCGACATTGTCAACCACAGAGTGGATACATGCAGAGCTGTACCTGGCCGTCGTAAGCGCTCATATTAAAAAATATCCGTTGGACAAAATGTCCGTCGGAAAATGTCCGTTCGGCAAAACGTCTTTCGGCAATGGTTCTTTCGGCAAAATATCCGGGTGCAAATCAACTGTAGTTGACGTAGTTAGCGTGTTAAAATGCGACATTTTGCCTGTCTGAACACTTCTGCGTGCGCAAGTTCGCCGTCAGAGAATTGGACACGAGCATTAGATAATTAATGAAGTCACAAACATCTCTTCGAAAAACGCGCGCTGAAAATGTAAAGAAGAAACGAATTAGCATATTTCACGCATTTTAGAAAGGTAAGAAATCTATTTTTATGCAATTAATTGAAAAGGTCAGTAAAGGACAAATATTTATAGCATCATACATGCATAGGCTCAATTTCATTTTTTGATTTCTTTAAAAATTTGTTCATTTGACGTTTATGTCAGTTTTAAAAAAGTATAAAGTCGACGCTCCATTAAATTTGCAAAGGGATTGACAACGTGCTAAATATTAATTAAATGTCCGTAATTATAAAACACTCACTGATTGGGCTAGCCTAATAACGCAACAACAGTGAGTCAAAATATTAGCTAAAGTTACTCAAAATTATGAAAATGTATTCATGTTCACAAAATGGAATACATTTTGAACTTCACTCAAAACATTTAAAGTAAACTTGCTCGTAAATTAGAGTAATTTTACTCAAAAGTTTGAATCACTGCATGTAGATGCATTATTTTACCCACGTTTTTGAGCCGGGAATTTTTTGTAAAATAATTTGTAAATAACGTCTGAAATTGTCTAGAGAAATGGATCCCAATGTGACTAGAGAATCAGTGATGTTCACGGACAGCGATGATGATCTTGATTTCAAGAAACTGCTGAAAGCTTCCAAGAGCACTGACGGTTTTCCTGAGGCGTTTATTCATGCTATACGTCATAGTACTGTCAGAAGTTTGTTAACTGAAAGTAGTACTTGTTCACCACGTTCGTCCTATTCAGACAGTAAGTTGTTCCAAGGGAGGCTGATTTGGTAACTGTACAGTAGCGTGGGATGATCCTATCCTTTTATGGTCAACACCGCGGCCAAACGTAAAGCGCATGCGCGAGTTTGGAGGGAAAATGTTTGCCGAAATTATAAACAATTATTCGATCAGGTTTTTGTGATATTCAATATAATTAATTATAATAAGTTATCTCATGAAGAATGCAATTTTAAAATCAGTTCTACCCACTCTATATATTCGCACATATCATTATTATTAAAGTACTCAGTCTCTTGTATGAACTGCAGTGCACTATTCACTTCGGATAAGATGGACGCTGTTGCAATCAATGTTTGTGCTCGTGTTTTGATTTGTAATTGGCTCACTCTCTGCACGCTGTGTTAGTGTTCCTGAGCCGTTTTTCTGTTTGTATTTTCCTTCTTTATATTTGTGTTAACGACCGAAGTTTGATAAATAAATAAATAAAGAATATACTAGTAAAGAAATTTTCCTAACCGTTATTCCTTTGATTGACATCTTAGGCATATCATCATTAACTGACAGTGATCAGTCCAGTGGTCACCATTCCCCCAAAGAATCAAAACTGCGCGAGCAACTAACCATGATCCCGGAGTCGGTGCTCGCTGCTCTAACGAACATCCAACGAAGTCAATTACGACGAGTGCGCGAAGACGCATCGAACCATCTCGAGAGCATTCTGCGGAATGTCGTGAATACAGTGGATGGATTTTATACAGATCAACTGACACGAGATCTCTTGATTCCTGTAAAGAAAATGATCGGAAGTGAAGGTTGGGATATTTTAATTATCATGTCCATCGTTTGCTTCAAAGGGTGAACATTCGCAGCTTATATTTCGGGCATTCAGCCAATCAGCCCTTTCTAGTGACGTCACGACCATAATTTTGACGTAAATTCTTCGATAGACCTCCAAATTCTTCGATAGACCTCCAAATGGTTGCTTTCATTCAACTTGTTTAATACGAATTCAGAAAAGCCATATCTTCTGGTGAACTAAAAAAGTGGTTTCTTTTGCTGTGTATAGTAAATACTAATAAAAACTTAACAGAACTTCGTCTTCTGCCGGCGCCTATGATTTTGGCGTAACCGTCGCTAGTGCGCTTATGAGAAGCATTCACCACCTGAAAATATTTTTTGGCTGAATCTGTTAAGTTTGTATCGCGGATTTGTTAGGGTGATGCAATCCTGAATATGGTTTGTGTAGATGCTTGGCGGAACATTATCCAAGCAATTGACTGCAAGAATGTAACTATCTGTAGAAAATGCTTTGACCTTTCGATCGATGGCTTCTACCAATTGTAAGCCTCCGACTATATACCCCCTCCCCCATACAGGAGTCCCTCCACGTATAAGCCCACAATGCATAGTCACAAACGTTTAGGCCCTGAAACTTAGCACAGCATTCGGCAGCACCGACCTAATACACCCTTCCGGAAAGTACTCAGCCTTGGCTATAGGGTCGTACTCTCGTTTCCAAGATTGAGATCGATATCGGCTTTAGATCACCTTTTATCTTGTCAGAGGCGACACATTTACGAAATCGTATAGTTACATTAGATAATATATTAATAAAAGTATTTCCCATGGTGTATTGCCGACCTGCAAAGCAATATTGTAGATTTAGGTTGGCAAGATGTTGCTTGCATACCTACCAAAATTATTCATATCCTGATCAACCTCATTCAATAATTTTTAAATATTGAACTAATCTCATTATATAGCGCGCTTCTCATATTTCTTCTCTGGTATATACCTATGCTATGTAGTAATTTCATCATACCTGATGACGACTGAAATCTAGTCGAAACGGCGAACAAAACTTTTCAAAATGTTTACCGTGAATATTGTATCTCTTCCATAACAATGTATTTATTTCTTTGTAAGCTTATGATAATTTTTATTAAAGCATTAAGGTTTTGATGTAACTTTTTAACACACTCGTCATATTTCAGAAAACGAGGGAGAAACGCGAATCAAAGACGAAATCAGAAAGATATTGAAAGGCGATACTGACGACACACGAGTGTACGTGCGTCGAGGAACACAAGTTGTTCAGAAGAAACGAAGGAAGTCCATAGTAGATAAGAAAAATGAAGAAGTTGAAGAAGATGAACACGAAAAAGAGGGAAAAGAAAATGAAGTCGTGACAGTTGTTGCTGAAGAAGTGGAGGTAGGGCAAGACATGGCAAAGACGATCTGTTGATAAATTTCCAAATGTCGGTATACCATTGGAAATATTTTTTTAAAGTCCTTACTACGGACATAGTATGGATCATAGTTGAAAATAGTATGGAAATCCAGTTTTCATAGTAATTGCAATTTCATACTTGGATATAATATGGAAATAGTATGGATTTTGTGATGCAATCGCAAATTCCATAGTATGAATTTCACTATTTATTTCCAGTTGCACAGAGGCGTAGGAAGCCTGGTGAATTTGGCGGGGGGGGGGGGGGCACTCCCACGAGCCTCCACCATGATTGTTTGCAACTCACGTGTCAACGAAGGGCCTTCGCTCGAAACGTCGAAGTTCTGCTCATAGTGGCCGTCTGAAATCCAGGCTAGTACAAGTCACAATTCATTTTGTTCGAGTCCAAATGAAGTCACGAGTTGTTAATTGGAGTAACAAGTTAAGTCACAGGCATGCAGTAAGCTCCATGTATACCGCATATACCCGAGCCCAAAAAATGAAGCACAAAATGAAGCTATCAAAAAATGATGTCAGTTCTATTGTTTTTGTCCGCGCGGTCTGCAAGGAGCGCCGAAATTTGGTATTTTGAAATTAATTACATATTTACAACAGCAATACCATAGTTTTACAAACTGATCACTTGATTAGCGATACGGTCTGTTAGGAAAAACTAGAATTAGCTGGGAAAAACGGTGGTAATAAAACTTTGATAGCATTGCCAAGCAAAGTTCAGTTACTAGAATATCAAACCTCCGTTCTAAATTCCAATGTTTTGCTTATATTTTGGAGAAACAAAACTGGAGGGAGGGGGGTAACATGGTTGATTGAGAGGGGTTGGCTTTATAACAAACATACTTGCAGGGAGGTGAGTCCGGGATTGGGCTTCGGGAAACTTCCAGCCACCTGAGGTGCGTCCAATCCCGGACTTACCGAATCTGCAAGCAGCCTCGTCCCCGGCGCTTTGATGTTGCGTGACGAGCGCGGGAGGACACGCGTGGGGAGCAACGCACCTCGATTCCCGCGCGTGCGTCACGCAACCCGTACGTAAGCACATCAAAGCGCCAGGGACGAGGCTGATCTGCAAGTATGTTTGGTTTTTATCACATGCCATTTCGGTAAAAAGTATTAAAGAATTTACGCATTTTAGTATATAATTTCTTCAGTGTTTGGATAACGAACATTTTAGCCGCCAACATACTACGAAAACAGACAAACTTAGGCTCAAATTGGAGCTAAAACAATTCTCTACAATATTCCCTCATTCTTGAAAAGAGAAAATGCACACATTCTGCGAAAACATTGCCAAGATTTTAATATATAAACCTGCACGTGCCGAACAAATTTCGGCGGCCATTCTTCTCTTCCACTTTGAATACAGAATAAATATTCCATTTTCATCAAACAAAATAAAAAAAATAATAATTATAAAACAATTAAAAACAGTTAATTTATTTTTTATTTACATTTTCGTCGGAAATTTGTTCAAATCACTTCATAATGGCCGCCGCCGAAACATCGATCTCGAACCCACCTCCTAAACACACGTCAGCAGGTGGGTTCGAGATTGAACGCACCTCCTCGTAGCCAATAGGAAAGCCGCTAATACGCTAGGTATGAGATAATGGCCCTGTCTTCTAAGCATACTGAAACCATTAATAAACAGATTAAGTGGTATAGTTTCAATCTCTGCCTGGGGCTCCTCACTGATCATAGAACTTAATCGTAACAACATATTTCAGCGAAAATCTTCCTTGTTTAATCATATATTCTAGAAGCCAGTTTGTCAAGTGATGTTAAACCTTATCGATGACCTTGGGGAGATATCCACAGACCGCCAAACCCTACTGACTGAGGTACTTGAATGGATGGAGAGATATCCACCTGGTTCACTTCCAGACCTTTGTGACACACCCTCGGAAGAATTTCAGCAAGATGAAGTAACCGATGAAAAAAATTTGTTTACTGATTGGGAGGTAACGAAGAACATACGACGACTGACGCTGCTCTCCGAAGAGATGGGTCTAGTGAAATTGGATAATAATGACGGCGGGAATAAAAAAGATAAAGGAGATGACAGGAGAAAGTTACTTGAAGAAAAAATGAACAAACAAAAATCAAGATATATTGCAACTAAAGTTTTTGATGGTATGTCCCAGACCTCTCAACTTTGTAGCCATGAGTAAGATGTACGAGTAGGATTTGAGACAGCATCCTTGTGGAGGGTCGGGGTATCCTGCCCCGAAAACATTTCTGGAATTGCTAACATCTGAAATGCCATTTCCTGTATTTTGAAAGCTCATTACCTTTGCTAGGACGTTATGTTTTTATTGGCGTTTACTTATGTGTATCTCAAACTCATTAACAATTCACGAGTAAATTAGCTATATTGCTCTATTTTGCTCGCATGCTAATAGTGCTGGATACCGCGTGAAATATATTGGTCCAGTATTGTCTGTGCCAGTGTAGGTGGTGCCAATAATATGAACAAGCTTTCGTTGGTAGGGATGCAACTACCTGAAAAATATAAGGAGAATTTCGAAGTTTCGAGCGAACGCCCTTTCTCTAGAGTTACTGGACTTCAAAATTCCTTATATTTTTCAGGTAGTTGCATCCCTACCAGGATCAAAATTAATTCGCCTCACTATAAGTGGTAATTTATTCGTATGAGATGTCATTTCAAATTATCCAATTCGGACTGGACTAGACCTAAAGTCCTCACATTTGATCGATCAAATTGCGCGGACTTGAGACCTAGTCCAGTTCCCATGTATATAGTTGGATTTGAAATATTGTTGGATTTGAAAGGTGATTTATCACTAATTGTTCTGGAGATGAGAATTTGCTTAACTTCCCAGGGATGAAGTTTATGATATGCTCATAGTAAAAACAGAAAACAGTTTTGGTCACCGAACTCGTTTCGCAGATATGACAAGTGCAATATACTACTTTTCCTCCATATGGTGCCATCTTGACCCTTTTACGAGTTACAGGAACAATGTATTTTAGAATTAAAGAATGCAATTCCACTGTTTTATTTTAGCTGAGTCACTAGGGGAGCCCAAAAACTGGCGGAGTGCTTCCAATGCAATCAGTCAAGTTCTCGAAGAAGCGACGACATCAACCACAAATCCACGAAGTAAACAAATGTTCGGCAATGCACACAAACAATTTCGCTACATGACTGAGTTGGCCGAGAAACGACAAGACGAGAAAATTAAACTAGACGTGCAGTTCACTACGGTTTCAGGAAAGTTAAGTAAAGAGAAAAAAGATGTGAAAGCTCTGAGAAAGAAGAAGCAAACGTTAGAGACTCAAATTGAAAGATGTCAGGATGATATTGTAGAGCTGAAGAAAGAAGTGGTATGTTTGGTTTAGGGCTCCTTTCCACTCATCGCAAAAAACAACTTGCGAGCTCGCTATATTTTTGCAGGGGTTATTACTAAACTTTGCTAAATCGAGGTTTTACTAAATTAATTTCGCCCTCAGCCCGGTTTGATAAACATCTGTGGTGACAATATACGCACCAACATGAAGATCCTGGGGGTGAGGTTTATCAATATATTAAAAGTTCGATTAGTATTAGGTAAATGTTTTCGTCAAAGCCAATATTGCAATCATGGATTCGACAAGGCAAATAGGTTTACTAAGTTGGCCTAAAAACCACTAATTTCCTATTCCACATTTGAAATAAGCGGGTTTTGCAGGCCAGATAATTTCATTGACACTATTCAAACACGAATTGTTGAAAAAAAATACTGAATTGTTAAAATCTCTTCAAATCTTTTTCTGCTACGCAGGCTATGTCGCTGCCAGTGTCTGCATCTAATTAAAATAAACTGTCTAGTATTGTGATTGGTTGAAATCATTCCCAGCGAGCTTACGAATGGACTGTTGCGATACTGTATACCAGAGCAAGCGCTTTTCACCTCTGAGATGGTGCGTTCGATTCTCGCTACGAACTCATGTGAAAAGAGTCAGTCAACGCTCTGCCGAAAGTCGTGGGTTTTCTCCGGTCACTCTGGTTTCCTCCAACAGGGAAAGTTGATATGGTGGGTTAGGATAAACACAGTTAATATAGTATTATCACAATTTAAAGACAAACGGTCTAGGCTATAAGTATGTAATTAGGTAAGCGTATAATACTTGGTGTAAAGCGCATTTGATCATATCGACATGTAAATTGCGCTATAGAAATGCTAATATTAATCTTAGTCAATTTGAAATTTGACGTCAGCCCTCTGCAAATACCAGAAGGAGAAGGTCAAAGTCAGAAGGTAAAAAAAACTGATTTAGAAAACTGTGGCACTGGAGCTATTGGCCCATTTCATTTAATACATGCAGGCACACCCCCCTCCTGTCGAGGAGTCCCTTAGGATATAAACAATTTGGAACCTCCTTGGATGCAATTTTTGGAAGTTACCCCTTAGGATATCGTTTTCCCCTCTTGGTTATCACTAAAACACCAACTATGAGCCCAGCTAACCGGAAAATTCATCTGAGAGAGAACCGCATGCCCTTTGTGAAAATTCAATAGGTGATCTCACCTTGCGCTAGGCCGGCGGGACCTCAGTCAAGTGGGATAAACTTTTCCATATGAATGCTTTTAATCCCACCTGACCACGATGGACATTATTTGCCGATGTTGACCTATAATATAGTATTGAACGGCATTGTCGGATAACATAAACAAAAAAGAAATATTACTTGACCTAAACAGACACTAATAAAAATATATATTTCGTTGTTTCGTCCCATCGAGGCGAGATATCATTGTAGGGGTGGGGTAGAAACTGCCACATGAACACAGAAATAACCATCCCACTCATATGAGCTTTGAACAGAAACATTGAGTGCTATATAGGTTGGGGGTGGCACCGAAGAGAAATAATTTCTGGGTAAAAATTTAGCTGATCCAACCATTAAAAAGTCAATAATTTTCCATCTTTGGCCAAAAACCTCACAAAAGGATACTATTCGGTTGTCACACATGTCCTTTACCACTTCTGTAGCACGAGTTTGATAACTGCTTGTGCAATTTTCTCCTGTGTAAAGCTTCATGTTGTCTGAACATGTACTTTCTTTGGAGACACTATTTGCCTCCTGATAAATTAGAAAATGATCAAAATAGTGACTCTGATTGATTGAGTGATTGATTTACATATTGTATTGACATTCTAGTCTTGAATATTAGAGTGAGTCATGCTTTGGAAATAACAGTAATTTGTTTATTACCCAACCCTTGAGTTGTTTTGCTTTTCATTTACTCATTCGAAATTTTGTTTACCCAACCCTTTTCTTTTCGGTGCCACCCCCGCCGCGTAAATAATTTCCGGGCCCTTACCAATAACATGAAGATATTTTTATTATGTTTTCATTCTTGAACGAAATACAGGAAGTTAGAGACGAGATAATCAAGGAAAGATCAGAACAAATTTATGAACTTGAATGTCTTAATGAAGAACAGGAAGAGACTTTGAAGACTGAACGAGAATCCAAGAATCAAGCACCACCACCTGTTGCACAACCACTGACACAACAGCAACAGCAACAACAACCTAAACAACAACAACAGCAACAACAACGGCCACAAAAAGAAGAAACAAAACAGCAAGCAACCACAAGTAAAGAGGAAATGTCAAGTTCTGAAAAACAACAAAGTCAACAAGCTAAGCAAAAGACAACGAGGAGAGCTTCAAAGGAAGGTGGAGTGAAAGCAAAGAAGGAAAACAAGGAAGAAGATAAACGAAAGAAGCAGGAAAAGGAGGACGCACGAAGGACCTCGGTGATAATGTCCTTAAAAGAAGCGAAAGCTGAGCTGGAACAAATTAGAAAGGCTGGCGAAGCAAGGGAAAATTTAGTGAAAGAACTGAAAATGAAACTGGAAACAGAAACTGGAAGATTTGAACAAGAAAAGATAAAGTTAGAAGAAGAAATACAGTTTCACAAACTACAAACTGAAAGTAAGCATTCTAAAAATCTTTCATAAGTGCGCTGTCCCTTACCAGCAGAGTTGCCAAAAATTTCAAGTTTTCAAACCTTCCTGTCAATTAAGGATTTTTCAAGTTGCAAAATATATAAATGATGTCATTCAAAAATCAAAATCGAATTCTTATTCCTATTTCCTTAGTACGTTGATCAGCTGGTTAATTGCATTGTACCCACAACACATGAATTTAACATGAATATAGCAATATAGCCTTATTGAAAATTGAAATTTACTAACGTTTCGTCTTTAGCTCAAGACATCTTCGGAGTATAGTATGACAATTACAAATGTTTAATATGAACAAATTACTATTTACAATATAGCATAAACCTAGTTTCAAGTGTCATTTATGTACTGTTTAATAAACGAGCAGGAGTGTTCTTTATATAAAGAATATTAAGTAGGAGAAGGTTTAATAGGAATAAAGTCACTGCGCATGACGCATTATCAGTGATTTAACAGGCTAAATTAAGCTTATGAACTATTAATGTTTGAAGCATACGCTATGCTGGCCATAGTATAAACGTAACAGTACAAACAGATGTATATGCCATGCGCACTACCCAAGTACGCGATCCGCGATCCCCAGAAAGTAGAGTGTTCCACATAATCACTGTAAACATTCCTCCAAGGGCGTCAATCTATCCCAAAAAGTGGGGGGGGGGACGGACTCCAAATTATGAAGGTCCGGAGGCATGCTACCCTAAATTTTTTTAAAATTTTGGTACACTGAAACGGCATTCCCAGCGTTTTGGAGGCACTTATAAAGTTATATTACAATGTGCATCATCTTATTAAATCCACGTGAGAAATGTGAGAATGTTAACCATGTAAGAAATACTCTAGAAACCAACATGTCCTAGCCTGTGAACAGACGTTACTCTCGATAAACATGTCCTCACTCGAATTTTATAATGCTAATAATCTATTAATTAACCATTTGCCTTATTTTGATGATAATCATCTATGTAAGGGAAACTCAGTTAATCAATATTTATTAGCACCTGGAAATTTACATATAACTTCTCTTTAGTGGCGGACACTTTACGAAATATTGGGGGAAGGAAAAAATTTAAAATTTGGATCCCGGAAATGGCATTTGCAGCATTCTGAGAACACATTTTGTAAAAAACTAGGTTTTCAAAACACTGTTTTAATGGTCGGCATTCAGTTATAAATCACATGCGAAGCATAGAAAAACAACATTTCAGAGAAAATATTTACATGATTATTAACATTTCTGAATGGAATTGCATGTAAAAATTTATTCGCTAAGTGAGTGAAATTTATTCGCTGCGCACGCTTTTGTTTTTGTTAACATAATTAAAATTGCAATGTTAATTGAATTATCCGTTGTTTTTGAGCATAATAGTTTAATACGCATTCAAATATTATTGTGCAGCAGTAGTATAAGTAGTATAAGCTTCAAAAACAACAAAAAATCGACAATGACATTTAAAGAAGTGCCTGTTGCAAAAAGTTGACCTCCTAGTGTCCGTCAAAAAGAATGTATAAAATGCGTATGTTGTGTCTTGTACAGTACAGAAACGTATATTATTATATTGTTTGGTATATTGCTTACTGTTTTAGCTTAAGTTTTATCAAATAGTTATTATTTAATATGACAATTACGTTATATGAGTGTGATTTGTGTTATTTGGCACAAGATTTTTACAGTCTTTCAAAATTATTCGGTGTCCGCCACTACTTCTACCCTAGTGTCCGCCACTACTTCTCTTCATTAAATATTACATAATATGAAGGTGCAAGCTAACTGTAATAACCTTGTAGGGTTAGACGAGACAGTTAAGACGCAATTATTTTTAAGTATTTACAATTTTACATATGAGATATCAGTACTTGCTCCGAGCGGCTACAGAAAGATCATACGTTGTACTTCTTCCGTATTAAATGTCTTCCTTTCAATCACAATTTTTGATGAACAGCATACCATGCATTAGGTTTTTAGATAACCAAGAAACAAAATTTCATTAAACATGTCAAAAAGTGGGGGATAATTAGATATTCGTCCCCACTCCAAAAACTGGGGGGGTGCGTCCCCCCATCCCCCCAGGATTAACGCCCATGCATTCCTCACTCACCTCGCATATGGTAAACTGTCCCCACGGATGGTACCTGCATTCTTTTTGCAACTCTGTTACTGTCTATCCTGCTTTTCAGTTTATTCCTAAAAATTCAATACAGACACTTTGTTGTGTTCCTTCGGTGGCATATAGTCGGTTTTCCCACTGATCTGGGTTTTCCACTTGGCAAAATCTTGCGGGCGGAGCGGAATTATTCAAGGTTTTGTGCGATTTCTCGGGTGGAACTAATTAGCAAAGACAAAGAAAAATTCCACTCCGCGCGCAACGTTCCGTCTGGTGGAAAACCGAGGTCCTTCAATAAATTTCTCTCTCTAAACTCAGGCGCTAAGAAACAGCTCGAGATCGAGCAGGAGGCATGGGAACAAACCAAGAACGAAATGTTACAAGAAAAAGACAAATTAACCAATGAGATTCAAGCGAAGGAAGAAATAATTAATTTCCAAGAACAACGAATTCAGGAGGTTGCCCGCGAGATGACACTAAGCCTCATGCGTGCAGGCTTGCAGGCTAACACGAACACGGCACGTGGCACTGCTACAGATAAGTTATTGGAGTCGAAACAATTGTTAGCTAAACTTCATCTGCAATACGAGTATGAAATGGAGAAATTACGGGCGTACGTGAAGCGAGAGTCCGAGCGGCAACAAGCTGAAACAAGACGGCTGGAAACTGAGTTCAAAACAAATCTAAACAATATCTACAGGGATACGAGTGTTATTTACCGAGCAGTGAACAGATTTAAAGAATGTCTAGCTGCGCTATTTGATCGGGAAAGTAAGTGATTTCACTGTTAAGATAGAGAATGGGAAAGGAGGGGGGAGGGGGGCTGATAGAATATAATTAACACCCTCAATTTTTGCTATATTTCGCTTTCTCTGCAATTTTTGCTACATTTTGTTTTCTTATAACAGATATACATTTACATAGAGATATAATAATAACTAAAAAAGTGCTGTGACAGGAGAAGAAAACAGAAACCAAATCCAATTGATATTCGACCCCTTAACAATTAATGGATAACGAGACGTACTAAGACAATTGCGCACGAACATATCACAAATTACATGCAACTTAACATATAGGATATATATATACAACACGATTAATGCATGACTGAACATTTCACTTTAATACGCATGTTTTGAATCATCTAGTCCAGTTTGGAAACTCTGCTAGCGTCTTTGTTCTATCTTTTCGTTCGCGTTTATGCGGTTTTGTGCACGGTGCACGGTCAATGAACACATTCTATTTCAGTATAATGAACGAATCATCCAATAGCAACGTTTCAGTTCAGTCATTCAACCATGCTATTTAAATATTAATAAACCTAAAACAAAGGATGTGCACGGTGTAAGGTACGGCTCAACATAAAATCCCAGCTCATTA